GGTCGGCAGGGGCTGGCGGGGGGCAGGAGCCCTGCTCGCACGGGAGCGTGTGCCGATCGGGGCAGGGACTGGCCTGGTAGAGAGAGGGATGGAGGGAGGGATGCAGGAAGGGATGGAGGGATGCAGGGGGGGATGGATGAAGGGGGACGGAGGGATGGATAAGGCGGGGGGGGGTGGCGGGAGGCCCTGCCCTCACATGTGAGCTGGGGCTTGGGATCTGCCGTGACGCTGCAGCAGTGGTTTCGGGAGCGGTCACTGAGGGTTTGCAGGATGGGGCCCGGGTTCCCCGTGCGCGTGGAGCTGTACGTTTCTCATCCCCGTAGTGGAGAGCGGGCTCGTGGTGAGACCCGTCTCCCCTCTGAGCAGCCCAAGGCTCTGGGGAGGTGGGCGATGAGCCTGGCACAGCGTGGGGCCGCGGTGCGTCCCTCCCGCAGCAGCCCCCTGCAAAGGATGGGTAGCGCGAGCCCCAGCGAAGGGACGCGGCCCCAGGGGGGATTTATTCCCAGATCTGGATTTGTCCCACTGGGTCAGAAAGCCCCACCGAGGGTACCGGCTGTGTCCCCTCGGCCGTGGGGTGTGCGGACCGGAGCTGCCTCGGCAGACACTGGCTGCTTGGTGGAGGCTCTCGTGATGTATTTATTAGAGGTCCTACTGCAAATCCTCATGGGCAGGGAACATCGGGGCCGGCTTGCCAGGCCCCACGGGTGCTGTGTGCTGTTTCCCGGGGCTGCCAGGAGACGCATGTTTTCAACCTGCCCGAAGGCGGTGCCCGTCTCTGCTTCCCTGGCGGGTTTGCCCTCACCGCTGGCACACACCGCTCTGGCGCTGCTGTCCTCCGTGGCAACTCAGCCCTTTCCCAGCCCTCGTGGGGCCCTCAGGATGCGGCGTCGGGGGAACCCAGGGCCGGTGCCAAGTGCCCACGGGCCCAGGAGGCTGCCAGTACCCCAGGGGCCACGATGTATCCCGGAGATGCCCAGGCCCAGCTCCCATGTCCTGTGGAGGAGAGCGGCAGCGCTGGCACCGAGGAGCTCCTGTGCTGGGAGCGCTCCCGAGCAGAGGGCAGGTGACAAGGTGTCCCAGTGCCCCCAGGGCAGGGGGGTGCAAGGGGGTGCTGGGAACCTCTGTGCGGAAAGTCTGACAGACCCCTTTGAGGGGGGCTCCGGGCTGTGCCAGCAGAGAGGAGGCAGTGCCGCCCGCCAAGCCCTGGCTCTGAAGCAGATGGTTTTGGTGGTGGTGGTTCAGGCCGGGCCAGCCCCAGCCATCCGCAGGGTTTCCATCGGCAGAGGAGGCTCTGAGCCTGAAAAAACAGCAGCTTTGGTAAAAGCAGGTGTTTAAGGCTTCTTAGTGAGGTGTGGCCAGTGTCAGCCCAGGGCTTGGCAGCACGCAGCCTGCACAGACGGATGTAGGACAGAGGGATAGGCTCTGAGCCCCCAGACCCCCTTTCATCCATCCATCCATCCATCCATCCATCCATCCATCCATCCATCTAATTTCAGCATCCAGGTTTAAATCAAACCGGTCTCGGTCTTGGAGCCGTCCGCTCGTGGCTGCACGCCCGGCGCGTTGGGCACAAGGTGTGATCCGGAGCGGTGGGAGCCCGCTCGCTGCTTTCGTTTAGTGCCTCTCTGCCACGGCACGCCGAAGCCGCCCGAGCCGCCGTGCCAGACTGCAAGGTCTGATCCTGCTCTGGCCTTAGAAGCCACAGGGAGGAGGGGATGGGTGGAGGTGCAGGGTGGCGTTCCCACCGCCGTGCTGCCATGCCAGTGGGGAGGACCCAGCCTGATGTGCCCCAGGGGTGACTCGGAGCAGCCTGGGGGCTGCTCTTGGCCATCGCAGCGTGGCCGTGGGCAGCAGCGTCCAGCCGGGGTGCCGGCTCGGCCGCGGGTTCGCACCATCCTCCCCACGGGCCGGCCCCGGCGCTTGGCAGGCTGCACGTGCCCCCACCGCTGGTCCAGGCTCTCTCGGCAAATCCCATCGTTCGACATTTTCCAGTTCATCTGTAAAGCAAATGCAATTATCTCTTGTCGCAGTCAAGGTTGATTGCGGATATTTATTTGAAGCCTTAAGCAGCAGCGAGCAGCGGCTGCTGGGGCTGGCGGGGCGAGGGGCTGGGTGTAGCGAATGCCGGCGCGAACCCAGCCGCTGCCGTAATTGGGAACGCGTGAGGGGCAGTCGGTGCCGCGCCACGGGCACAGCAGGCTGCGCTGCATCCGAGGAGCAACCCCAGCACCTCCTAAATGCTGAGCCGAGGGCTTCTAAACGATCCTGTTAGCAGCAGGAATCAGGCTGCAAATTGTCCGTGCGGAAAAATCTTGCCGGACGGCGGGAGGGCGAGAGGCGCCGGGTCCAGGCTGGGATTCAGCCATGGCGAGGGGGTGGAAGGAGGAGAAGTGGGGGCTGCCGGGTCCTGCCCCTGCGCCCAGGCCGGCTGAGAAATCAGGATTAATAACCAGGTGTCCGCCACGCGCGGAAAGCCAGCGGCGGGGCAGGGTGCTGCTGGTTTACTGCAAACCACCCGGCGCATTTGGGAACCGTGCCTGCCGTGAGCTGAGCCCCGGCTGCGGGAGGGCTGCTGGAGCCAGGGAGGATGCTCGTGTCTTTTTCTCCCGTTGGAACCACATTATCGTTGCGGTCGCAGCAGCGGTGATGCCATTTTGGGTTCAAATTGAAGCCTTCTGCCCATTTTCCTGAGCTGGAGAAGAGGAGGGTGACGGCCACCTCTCCCCTCCAAGCCTGAGCAATTTGTTTCCAAATTGCTTTTTATTTGCGAAATAAAATTTCATAGAAAATGTTGAGCAAAAGGAAGAAAATGTTTTGAAAACGGCCAAGGTCTAGAATTGCCGGGTTTTGCTTGCCCCGCAGCATCCCCAGGCTCCGTGGTACCCGGCTCTGCCGTTGCCATGGGAACGTGATTCCCAAGTTCAGCCGGATGAGTTGCAAAATCCGCTCTCGTTTTTAGAGTAAATCTCTTCTCTTTCACGAGAGCACCCCGGGGAGCGCCGGCGGTGCCGGGGCATTCGGTGTGTGGTGCTGCAGCAAAAGGTCACTTGCAGCCACGCTGTGGGTTGGTCTTGGTCTCAGGGGAGATTTTGGTGCGAAAAATGGCCCCTGGGCGCAGGGGGCTGGCCTTTCGGGGTCGGTGCTCGCCTGGGCCGAGGGCACGGGCAGGCGGGGATGCCGTGCGCCTCGAGGCAGAGCCTGAACTCGGTCCCCGAAGACGGCGAAGCCAAAGAGCAATAAAACGTGGTCGATTTACTTGGGGGCAAGAATTAATCTGCTCTGAGGAGCCAGGCAGTGAAGATGAAATTGCGAACGAGCCCCGTAATGGCCTGAAGCAATGGGTTGATTTCACTGTCCAGTGGTTAGAAAACATTATTAACTAGATCTAAAAATCACTGGCAGCTGAGGGGCACTGCTGGGGGTTTAACGGGAACGATCCCTCTTGTAACTCGGAGTGGTTTAACTTGGCGGGGAGGTTTTGTGGCGGTGCGAGATTGCCCCGTCTGCCGTGGCCTCCCCAGCACCGCGGGGACGCGGCCGGGGTGGGGACCCTCGCAGCGTCCCTGCGGTCCCCGCTGAGGTTGTCCTTGTGGCCGCGAGTGGGGAGAGGGAGGCTCCGTCCTGTCGTGAAAGCTGCTTAAGGATTTAAACCCCCTGTAGGACTCGGTTTTAATTAAAATGGCTTTACCCGGGAAAGCTGGACGTGATGCGGGGAGCGGGATGCACAGGGGGAAGATGCACGCTGAGCTCCCAGGGTCTGGTGCTGGCAAAGGTCATGGTGGGGGGCATGGGGGGAGAGGGACCCCCCCTCCATCCCGGCCGCATCCAGGCCACCTCACCCACCTCCGCCCTCCCGCAGGGGAGCCACCTCGGTGGTGTACAGCTGCAAGGAGAAGGGCACGGGCACCCCGTACGCCGCCAAGATACTGAAGAAGACGGTGAGTGTCAGTGGGCGGGGGGCTGCAGGGCGTGGGGGGG